AAATTTTTATTAATTAAATAATTTCACAAGCTGAGTCGAACTAAGCTTAAGCTTAAAAAACCTTATCAAAAGTCTAACTTGAGTTAATCGAATCCGTCGAACTTGACAGATAACTCAATCCTTACACTTGTTTACCTCGATCCATTTCTTAAAGTCAAGTTAATGCTTATCGTAATCAACCATTTAAGTATTACTTTATTTTAAAGTAATAAACTATTATTTTATATTAATATTTTAAAATTTATTTAAAATTATATTTAAATAAATATATATTATTTATTAATAAAATAATTGCATTATGTTAGTAAGGTCGAGCTTTGACCTAAAATTCTATTTGACCTAAAAATCTATGTCCAAGCTTGGCCTAAGTTGAGACCGAGCTTACAGGCCTTGATGAGTAACCTGGTCCTTAATGGGTAATCTTGTCCTTTTACACCTCATATTGGTAGTTAAAAGAAGAGATGGACTATTTACACTCGTTTATTTTTCACACCCCACTACTATTAACACTCATCCTTTCTTTTTTTTACACCCCAAATTAAAACACTAATTTCCTATAAACCCAAACACCCCACACCCCATTTTTTCTTCTTCACCAAAACCCTAAACCCTTTAGTAGCCCCAAATCAAGCTCTAATCTTGATATTGATGTTAAATAGCTTAGAATAATAGATAAATCATTTTTTTGTTTGATTTTATGTTTAGTTTTTAAAAATTTAGGATTTTAAGTTTACAGGTTCGATATGGGATGGCAATTCGAGCCTTTTGGAAATGAATTTCTGAAATTTGTTGAAGGTTTCCAAAATTGGATATCCAAAAACTTTTTCAATGTAATGAAAATTTATTTTTGGAATCCCTTTCTAAAAATCCATTTATGGAAATCTTTGAAAATTTCCATAAATGTATTTTCAAAATTTATTAATGGTTTCTAGAATTATTAAAAAAATTTCGAAATGGATTTTTGATACACAATAACCTTTGGCTACCAATTAAGACCAAATAACTTTTCAATACATAAAAATAAACCTTATTATGTCGTTAGCAGACTGACAACTCTGCCAATAGGGATCTTTAATCTTTCAACTACCAGGAACTATACATTCAATAACATTTGTAACATTTTGTAATTCTAATAGACGTGCATTTAAGAGGAATCACTTAGTGTAAAAAGATGCTTGTGCAAATTAGCTGCTACACCATGTGCGATGGAGCATGATTGTCTTATTGTACATGGTACAATAGCCACTTGCATGAGTACTTTTCACACTAAGTGATTTCTTTTAAATGCATGTTTGTTAGAATTGATAAATGTTTCAAATGTTATTGAATGGATAGAACTAACCGAAAGATTAATGGTTTTTACTATTTGAATTAAACATCGTATACATCAGAGAAATTATTACACACATATTTAGAGATCGCAACAAAGAAATTGAACTAAAAAATTACTTCTGAAAATGTATTTTTGGATAATTGCAGTGCTTTTCGAAAATGAGTTTCTAGATAATTACAATGCTTTTCAAAATGAATTTTCTGTATAGTTAAGAAGTTTTCATAAATGCATTTCTGGTACATTGAGGAAGTTTTTGGAAATTCATTTTCAGTAACTTAATGAGAAAGAATATAAAAGACAAAAAGGTAATTAACCAATAAGTATTTAAGTAATTTTCTATTTGATTAATTTTGTGGGGTGTATTGAGAGTTATGGGGGGTGCAAATAGTCCTACCCTTAAAAGAAATGTACTAGAGAGGTTTTACTTGCACCAAGATTTTTCTTTCCACATTCCCTTTTCTTTTCTTTTTTTAAAATTATCTCTAAATAAAATTATTTAACTATCTGTTTCATTTTTAAAAATCTTCAAATATCTGTATAACTTATTGGATTTTGAAATCCGAAAGTTATGTTCGAAAATTTTTAAGAAAAATTACAAAAAAGAGTTTTATTAAACATGTTTAGTAATTGGTATAATGAAAATGTTATTATTGGAAAGGAAATCATAAATTTTAAAACTAATAAAAAGAAATTTGATTTTATTATTTTGACCTTAGGAAAAATAAAATCTTATGGAACCTTAACTAAACTAAGAATAAAATAGTAAATGCAATTTTTTTTATAAATTTAAAATTCATTATTTCTTTTTTAATAAATATTTTTTCTCTTAGTGTCAATTATTAAAATGTTATAATAATTATTAAAATATTTTTTCTTCTCCACAATAATAAAAAAAAATGTTTTTGGTTAAATAAAAATTTGAGACAATTACAAAAAAGGTGAAGTCTATTAATAATTGATACCAAGAGAAAAATAATTAAAAAAATGATTTAATTTTAAATTTATAAAAAGAAAATTACATTTATTATTTTATCCTTAGTTTAGTTAAGGGTTTTATAAGATTTTATTCTTCCTCTAAGGTCAAAATAGTAATATCAACTTTCTTTTTATTAATTTTAAAACTTATAATTTTCTTTTCAATAATAACCTTTTTCATTATACCAATTAAAAAAATTTTCTAATAAATCTTCTTTTATTTTTTGTAATTTTCCTTAAAAACTAATGGATTTCAAATTTGTTCTGCTAGATATGCGTATCCAGTAAGTTATTTAACTTATCGAATTTTTATATCTGATAAGTTTTATAATTTATCGGATATGGATATCCGAATATTTTTAAAATAAAAAGAATAATTAAATAATTTTATTTAGAGATAATTTTGAAAAATAAAATAAAAGGGTATGGAGAGCAAAAACCCTTGTACAAATAGAAGCTCTCATCGTACTATTAACCCAAATGTTTTTAAAAAAGTCAAAAATTATTTTTTGTAACATATAAAAATAAAAATTGGTTATTTATAATCTCAAAAATATCCTTTAATGCATTTTGGAAATTAAGTCTAAATTATAGAAGAATCTTTATTTTTAAAAAAGAAATTTAGTGCTTATGATGATATTAAAAGTTTTCCAAATAAATAAAAAAAAAATTACAATAAGAGATGTTAGTTATGTACAAAAACATGACTTTTAACCCCGATTTTCCTTTTTAAAATTTAAAAAAGAAAAAGAATTTGTTCATACATGAACGAAGTGAAAGATTTAGATTAAGTTCTTTAGGTTAAATTTGTGAAGTTTTTTATCAGAAACAATTAAAAAAAACTTAAATTAAAAATCAAAATCAATAAATTAAAAAGTTTCATTACATAAATTAAGTGTACAAAATTTTAAACAATTTTGACATATATTTTGAATAGATATTTTTAATAAAAATATTGATAGTATTTTTATCATTAAATAATTATAAATCAAATTTGAAAACAGTATTTTTAATTTTTTATATATTATTTATTTTTATATTAAATTCTATCAATATATCAATTTAAATTTTTTATTAAGTCATTTTTAAAAAAATTTATAAACTTCACGTAAAATGTTTTATATAAAATTTATTCATGAACAACTCTATGTGCAACTTACAGAGAGCTTTAAAGTTATTCTTGTTTTTTTTTTTTTTTTTTGGGGGGGGGGGTGGTTGCAAGGGACTAGGGAGCTAGTCCTTTTATTTTTTATTTTTTTTAAAAAGAAAGTCATGTGATATGGATTTATAATACACTAATATATCTATATTAAACTGATTTTAATAAAAAAAAAAAAAAAAAGCATAATAGCGAATAACTAAAAGATTAACACTTCTGCATTATTGTGAAGGATATTTCCTATTGTGAATATCAATCATAAGGAAACTTATATAATTTTCCTTCGCTAAAAAAAATTAAAAGAATAAAAAGAATGATGCACATACATTAATTAATTAATTAATTAAGGAAAGTATTTTATTTTTATAACTCAAAAAAATTCATTGATTAACGCTATATGTGTCAAATGAGTTGTGCAACTTGAGAAACAATCCAATTTGACACAATGCTGACACTGCTTGGTATAATCTGTTGTTTTAGTAATGGATCGTGCCCAGCATAATTCTTATACTTGTGTTAGCTGGATTAGGATTTTTGGGCTCGTTAGATTGGCACAACACAATTCATCAAGGATTAATATTAACATGTGACACATGGGTTGCATGCACAAAACAAAAGAACTAATGTATCGTGCTATGTCGGCCTATAATGTTATAAATTATTAGTCTATTGGTTTTTGAATTGTATTTCATTTTGCTTTTATCATATGATGAAAGGTCTTTTGTTCTTTTAGTATTTTATGTCAATAATTTATAGAAATTAAATTGTATCTTTAAATCTACTTATAAAATAATTAACCTATTAAAATAAAATTACAATTTTTTTTTTTATTTTGATCTATCACTTTCTAAAAAATCCATGAATTGTGTATTACTCAAAGATTGATCATAGAAAAGCTTAGTGTAAGACAAAGCACATGATATTAGTGAATCTGTGTATTATTTTCTTTTTAAAAATTTAATATGATATTTGTGTATTTTTTTTTTAAAGATGATGAAAATAAGATATTAAATGATAATATAATATCTATGTATTATTTTTTTCTCTAAATTTAAAGATGGAATATTAGTAATTGTCAATTTTAACATATTCTTTAATTGATTCTTTTAGCTTTTAATTTCATCGTAGGTATATATATTTTATCAAATTACATAAATTATATATCTCTCATATTAATTTTATATATTAATTGTTAGATACAATTGAAAAAATCAAAGAAAAGAACTTTCACAAAAAATAATGAATAAAAATTTAAAAGATTATTAATAAATCATAACTTAACTTGATTCGAAAAATAGTGTGATGCCAAGCACATAACTCATATGAGTTTTGGGCTATATGTCATGTTAGACTATGCTCTTAAACTTTACATACTCTGCCAACAAGTCATCATAAATAATAATATCAAAACGACACGACGTAGATTGATTTTTTAACGTATGAGCCATTTGACATCTCTCGATTAGGGTTATTAAGGTTTTTTAAAGAATAAATAAAATTTCATCAGTGTCCAAATCCAACGAGTCTAAGGGCAGCCGCCGAAGTGGTAAATTAAGCCCATAACAGTATTTCAGTTTCTTGGGGAAGAAAAAAGGCCCTAGCTTTTTTAGGAGGCAGTTAACTAACTGTTCCTAATCCCATGTTCCCTATTTTATCTCAACCCACCACTCTCTCCTCAATTTCAGATTTTTTTTTTCTTTTATAAAGTTCGGTCTGATGCAAATCCTTTTTGTCTCCTCAGGTCAATAAGCATCAAAACAATTGACAGTTTTCTTCTATAATAATTCAGGTATTGTACACTCCTCTGCATTTGTTTTTTGTTTATTTAGCTGGGTACTAGTTTCTTGCTTTATTTCAGTCTTTTGCTACTTAGTTTCCGGTTGTTTTCATTTCCCTGGATACTACTCAATTGATGAAATATATTTTGCATGCCATGATTGACTTCATCATGGTCTGAATGTTTCTCTAATTATTTCAGGTTTATTTTTAACCGCTACAATGGTTTTGAGTTCATACTCCGACTGGGGAACTGATGTTCAAAATGCTAAGTCGGAGCCAATCCATCTAACAAGACCAGTTCAGGATCAGCTTGTTGTAGCAGATCATCGGCATTTTGAATATTACTGGGATGCATTTGAGCTTCCGTATGCTTTTCTTGATCCTTATATTGACCCCAATAGCAATATCCTACACCCTGAAAACTACACTCCTTTACTTCCATATTGCTCTCCATATGACCCTTTAATTTCCTTCTCACCTGAAATCGATATCCCATATGGCAATTTCAGCTCTTATCCATGCTCCAAACGCCAGAAACTCATTGAAGATCATTATTGCTCTGATTTTATGCCTTCTTTCTTCGATGGGGTTGCTCCGAGTTCCTGTCTTCCCGTGCCTGAAGATCAAGGCATGTATCAGATTAACTTGGAAGGAAATGTGGAAAACTGTAAGAAGACTAGTGAAAGATGTGTGTCAGTGCAAAGCATTGCAGCAAGAGAAAGGAGGAGGAAGATTACTGAGAAGACTCAAGAACTTGGGAAGCTTGTGCCTGGTGGGAATAAGATGAACACAGCTGAAATGCTTCAAGCTGCCTTCAAGTATATCAAATATTTGCAAGCTCAAGTTGGAATCCTTCAAGTTATGGACTCATTTTCGGTAATTTTCGGCTCATTCTTACCCTTTTTTTTTTAAGTTTTTATTTTAACTGAGAATTTTGGCTAACTGTTTTAACTCATTGAAAAGTTACTTTAATTGACAGTCATTTCATTTTTTTTTTTAAAGAAAAAAGAAAAATCAATATTATCTAGTCCAGGAGGAAAGATCTAGATAAGAACTTTGCCATATTTATTGTCAATTATTACATCAAATTTAATCTAGCTTCTGATTGTTATATCTAAATATCGATCTTTATGTCCAATGACAATAAAAACATAACCGAAGAGGGTTTGAACAAATGCAGGAAAATGAGAAGGCGGCTTGGAAGGAAAACATGCAAATTGTAATATCTCAAAGGGTTCAACAGAAGCTTTACATGGAAGATAAGTGCTTGGTTCCAAAGGATATTGTTCTCTCTTTGACAGCACTTTCTAAGCCTCCACTCTCTGTTCAACTTAGTCGGCTGTTAGCACTAGCTCCCCATCACTGAATAAGTGTCCACCTGTTTTTATCATCTCCATTTAGCCATCTCTCTCTCTAAATTTTTTTTTTTATTTAACCATTTCTCTGATTACCTTTTCTTTGTTTTGTTAAACATTTAATTATCTTGATTTGTCCTCAATGCAAACCCAACAATTAGAATTAGAGATTCTAACTTATATGTGTCCCGAATTCGAATCTTTAAATAAAAAAGGAAAAGGAAATTTGTGAGATAAAAGAAAAAAATCACTTAAAGTTACGCTGTTAATTTTACCTTTTAAAACAAATTAAAAGAACATAAGGCTCACGAAAATTGTTAATGCTAGAGGCTTGTTAAAGTAAAAGAAGGGAAAATAGAACCCCTAGGAAAATGCTTAGAAGGCTTCACCTCACAACGCCTACTCCATTTATCACATGCCGAAAGTGCGGAACTCTTCTTAGCTCAAGTGTACAAAATCAACAATGAATTGCAAAGAAATTTACGCTGTTGCTTGTTTATTTATCTTTGATCAATACGATAGTTTGACACTGACCATCACCCCTTAATTTCCTACCAATTTCTGCTTCCAAAAAAGTGATTGGAACAATCACAATCCTTTGTATTGTCCAAAAGCAGACATGTTTCATAAACATCATTGACACAATTAGAATTCAACATTTCTGTTTTCGTACAGAAAGGGTGGATCTGTAGTTACCACACAGGTGCATATTGGAACTCGAAAATGATGAATGATACTCGACCTTTCTAGATACAAAAACCCTTTTCGTCACAATCTGAGTACTGAAACTGGCCAATTGCAAGCTGTTTCTTCTGAACTTTTTGACAGGTTTGCATTAAGATTTATGATGAAGTGTCGACAGGTGTATCAGATTGTGCACCCCATTCAGTCCAAGATCCATCATACACAGCAACATCAGGCGTCCCAAGTCGACGGAGGCCCTGAAAAGCATCAGCATGAGACACTTGCCTATTTTTTAATATTAATCTATCCTTTTAACTTTTCCAAGCAAAAAAGAGAAAAAAAAAAGAATAGAACTTTGTTTAAGAAACTACATTATAAGTTGTCCCTTACAGAGTTTACAGGAAAATCAATAAATGTTAGGCCTAAAGGTAGAGATAGAGCAATAACAATAACACAGTGGAGGAAGTACCAATGCCAGAATACAAGCAGTTACACCAGTGCCGCAAGAAGTTACAATAGGGCGTTCCAATGAGATGCCTGCAGAAGAATACGTTATTTGGACAATAGGAAAATGTCAAGATCAACCATAAACCATCATATAAACAAACATGAATCATAAACTTCTTTGTAAGTTAGAAAGTAGAGAGATAGGCGATGGCAAAGCAAGATGATTCATCAAGAAACAAAACATTAGAACATTCAGTATATTGCTCTCACCATAAACACATAAAATCATAAAGAAAGATTGATTTAATTATGAACTGTGTGCAAGTCCCCTCACCAAATTGAATGTGACAATAAAGGCTTCAGAGTCTAATTTTTCTATCCGAAATAAGTGAAGTTACAGGGTCAAGTGTGCAGTTTTATATTGCTCAATCACAGAAACTCGCAACCTCTTGCAAATGAGTAATTCTTTACATCATTATGTGATAGCAAAACTAAATAACTATTCGCCATTATTACAAATGAGTTATTGGCGTAGCAAATAACTAAGCTTCAAATTCTAATTACCAGATTGCTTAATCCTTAAACCCATAAACTAGTATGCATATAATGGAGTGAAAATGAAGATTTGACAAAGATGTTGATAGGTCAAGTTAGTGGCATCGACTATCACTTATGAAAAGTGAATATCTGTTAGCTCAATCCATATCTGCTGAAATTGGAAAGATTAAAAGGAAAAGGGGAAAGGAACAATGATAAAAACAATGATATATGGCTCACCCTCCTCATCAAATCGTTTCTTAAGCTCATCAGCAGCTAAAAGTGTCTGTGAAGCATCCAACATCTGCAAAGAAATGCCAAATTGATGAATTAATAATCTATTGTGGAAAAAATCCATAAAAACTACATTATCGGACATAGGAAATGAGAGTTAAAGGCAAAAAATAAAAAAATTAAAAACCAAAGTAGGCATCTTTCTTTCTGCCTTTTTTTCTCACAACTACAACCTTGTCATTTCCTACATCACTGGAAAAAAAAATCCAGAGAACCCTTTAACAACACACGAACAGGAAGTGCATCCTCTAGAAATTCTTTGATCCATGAATCTTTTATCTCATATCTAATCTTCTAAACAATGGCCAGTCATAGGTCATACTCCAATGGCACTATCTAAATCAGCCACTCATCAACGTCATTCTGTGCACATGACAATTTTGAATTACTGATCAACAATTTCATGCAGCATGCACCAGAAGGAGATATATAGAGACCCCCTTGCACTCCTAAATTGAAAGTAAATGTTCCTGCACCACATTTACCAACGTTCTCTCTCTCTCTCTCTCTCTCAAACAAATATAAAGGTATTTAGGACTTGAGAAATCTACATATACTGCACCTCTTTATAGCATCCAAGTAAAATATGAAAACCTCTTATGTCTTGCCTGTGGAAAAGGAATACACTTGCTGCCAGGTACATGGCCACTTCTGATTCCTTTACGAGGTTCTGGTGCAGCACCATCAAATCTGCGTAAACCACAAACAGGAAATTAAATTAAAGGAAAAAAAGGATTTCTTATGCAAGGAGGTTCAGTATCACATACACCCCAGCTTATATGCACTTCAAGTTGAAGAAAATAATGTTAGACTACAGTAACACGAATAGCAGAGATAATATTAGGAAGCTCAAAAAAGTGACTATTTTCAGTATTAGTCAATGATGGATATTATATCAGGAAGTGAACTTCATGATGAAGCCATTCGTTGGATTATGTCAAGCTGATGGAATCAAGAACTGCTACTAGGGTATCACTAGGATATCATGTGATCACATAAGTATTAGCATGTTAAATGTTGTTAAGGTGTGTACCTCAGAGACATACAACAAAAGGCCCTCAAACCCTTTTGGGCGAGGCTCATTTGTTCAGGCACATGCCTGGTGTGCCTAGGTATACTTTTTCTGTAAGGTGATAGGCACACAAAAATCCCCCCCAGAAAAGTTCTCTTTAATTTCTTTAATTTTTTTTTTTTTTCATTCATTGTACCTTTAATAGTAAAAAGAAGGGACAATATCAAACTCTACTTCTCAATTTTTGAGAATTTAACAACAAACATGGGAAGGAAGTCATGCATATAGGCTAACAAAAGAAAAAAAATTTTGCATGTTTTGTAGGATTAACTGGAACACTCCTTAAAGTTTATTATCATAATTATATACACAAGCTTATTTTATATATATATATATATATATATATATAACAGACATAAAACAACACATGTATACAGGTGAGTGCTGTTTTTGTGCCTTGTGCCTCAGGCAATATAAGGTTGCTAGCGCCCTTGACAACACCGAACAAGTTTAATGGGAAATACAATAACACCAGTTAAGCTTTTAGGTACCAAGCATTTGAGCAGTTTGAAGACAACATGTCTGAAAGAAAGGATTAGCTGAAATGAAGTGTTGAGATTGATGTGGGTCATTAAATGGATCATGCTGGCAATTAGGACCACCCAGATGGGCAAACAAATAACATCCATTTTGCTCTCGAGCTAGTTTAATATAGTTCTTGTTGGGTTTAGACAGATTCCCATACCATTAAAGCTGTTCATGAGTTTTATTAATAATGACACAGATTTGAGTTTACAGTGATGTGTGTTAGAAAATTTTCAGTCATATGGTAGATTCAATATTAGCCTCTACTTTACAATCTAAGAAGCATATTATACTTCATGGACTGAAAAAATGCAAGAACAAACCCACACCTTATGTCACATGCACCTTACATTAATTATTGTGAAAATAAATTCATTTAAGTCCAAAATTCAGTTTTATTTAAGATTGCATTTACAGCATTTCCAAGGCATTAATATGGCAGACATGCTGATTTCTGCTCACTATCAACAAGACAAGAGATGACTTGAGGTACATGAACTGAGTGCTAAGAGAAAGGAATATTATTTGATACCTACAAAAGCAAGCGTTTACCATATTAAATTCATATATATCATAAGATAAAGTAATCATGGTCAAATGTAATCAACAAAGTAAGACTCTGCAGTACCTGGGCTTGGAACGAGCATCTATATGTTGGTGAGTCTTTTCCTCAATGTTTCTTCTAACCTGAAAAAATGTAAAAGGAGAAGGCATGATCTAACATAACCTGAGAATGTATTCAAATAACAGGGAATTTCTATCCATTGATGGACTGACATAACAGTAACCAAAAAGAGCACCTAGTTTGCTGATTTGAGTGCTGGACATGGTATAAGTCCCAAAATCGTGCTTTCAACTGTTTGTCAGCATTTTCATATGTTGACTGTCTTAATTTTATAACCATGTACGCTTTAAAGCATCCAATATATTCCTGATGCAGATATGTTAGGAAAAATAAAGAGTGGGGCAACCTAGAAGATAACCAACTAGACACATTGATGTGCCACCTTTAAATTCTACAGAAATTTAGGTTGTTATACATTGCATTCCAAAGATTTTCTAAAGTATATTTCAAAATGACACAAAGATATGAAGACCAAATACATATAAACAAGACATTAGACAGCTAATTAATTCAGATCAATGAGTATAGAGGATTTAAGATATGTTTGATGTACAAGATTATGATAGGACAAGAAAAGATAATATTATGAATAGGATTAGACTAAATAATGTCATCTTATCTTGTGTTTGATACGTGCAAGGATTAGGACAAAATAATTTATTAATCGGTCAAAATTATCTTTCCTCAAAGTTTATACAATTTAAATTATTAGTGTAATTTTTATGGGTATAATAGGATATGTAAGTCCAATCTCATGGATTAAAAATAATCCTCTCCACTTTAGGAGTATTGAATCATCCTATGCGAAAAGAATAATTAATCCTCCTCGCAATCCTATCTCTTTCTTTAGATACGAACCAAACATGGTATAGGATGATTATTATCCTATCCTATCCATCATCCTATGAACCAAACATGGCCTTACTACTTTATATAAACAACTGCAAATTTTGAATCTCACAAGTCAGATACAAGCATGCTCTTCCTTTACACCAACAGTAAATTATAATTTCTCCGATTCTTGTAATATTCAGCTTGAAGCTTTCTCCAAGCTTCTTTTTTTTTTTTTTTTCATACCATAATAAATTTTGGTGTGACGTTTGTGAACACGAATGAATGTTAAGATGAGTAGATCATATCGTAATAGTCATCATACCATAATAAATTTTGGTTTTATATCTGTGAATGCGAATAAATACCCAGATGAGCTGATCATATCATAATAATCATGCATCGTGCTTCTAGCAAGGTCACAACAGTATTAGTATATATCTGGTTATGAAGGTGCATCCACTTTAAATTGCAATCATTACGAGGCATCATTTCAGTAGTCAAACAAAACTGATATAGCAAAACCATAATTTTATATGAATTATGTTAGGTTAGCAATTAAACCTGATCGAGTGTCCAGACAAGATGTGGCTGAAATTTTGTATGAAATGTGACTGGTCCAGCCTGAAAGACAAAGATACAGGCAACCAAAACTGTTTTGAGTATAATATTGTAATCATGAGACATGAGAGGATAAAATGTTGTATAATATTATATAGATAATAAATGTTCAACCCAGAAACTGAACTGCCAATTGCCACTGAATGACTTCCACAGTATTTCCAATAATCTCACTTGCTTCTTTTCAGGAGGCATCACTTCAAGAATGCAATAGCAATATTTTCACTACTCCAAGACAACAACCACATCTTATGGCACAGGAAATATTCCCCCCTTCCCTCCTTCCCCGCGCCTACCCAATCAGTAATTTCAAGAATTGCAGATGAAAAAAGGGAATAGATAATCAGAGATTAGGAAAGGACACTTACTGTTTGTCCCTGATAGACTTTCTCAATTGCCTCACTGGCAGCACTGGCTTTCAAAATAGCATCGCTAGAAGCACTAGATTCAACATCATATCCTGATGCACGCCACCTTGGGAGGCCTCCATCCAATACCCAGATTCTGTCATGCCCAAAGACTCGGAACATCCTTTCAATTATCAATGGACTAAAGTCTGTTAGATTTAGAATCAGAAAAATACTATAAAACATTTAAGACAACGCTGAGAAGATATCATATTATCAAAAGTGCTACTCACCACCAAACACGTGCTGCACTGAAAATTCCCTTCCCATCATAAACAACCAGTCCATCATTATTCTGGATGCCAAGAGCAGACACAGCAGCCGCAAAAGCTTCCTCAGATGGCAGCATATGTGGCAACTGATACAAGTAACAGTCTTCAAATAGAGAAGCCAAATAGGATAAACAAACCAGTGGATATGTTATATAAAGGCTGACTTACCTGATATATCTCCAATTTAATACATCATGTAACAAACTACCATGAATATTTGATTGAATCACATTACTGAGAATACTCAAAAAAGGCATATGCAAAGTTATAAAGTTGATTCTAGAATTGTCAAAGCACCATGATAGAGAACCATGTTTAGGCATTTTAATTTATTAGGATTATTTTTAATCAACTTCCAAAGGTAGACCACAAAAGATGTGGATACAAGTAATAACAAATAATATGAGGGTTAAGTAGATGAAAAGATTGTTTTGGATAGAAATGTGTGGCGCAAGAAGATTCAAAACTACGACTTAACATGATTCATTTTTTTTACCTATCATACCGCCAACCCCACAGTTATGGGATATAAGGCCTACTTTGTTGTTGTTGTTGTAGGTTATTTTTAATCAAGGTTATAATTGGTATTTTGCATTTTATTAGGGTTTTGAACTTAATTATAAATCCCAATGTTATTTTAGTTTCAATAGGTCTTTGGATATTGAATATTAAGTTATTGTGATATTGAGATTTTCGCTCTCCTGATCCTGTCTGGTTTTCTCCCTAAGTTCTTTTGTTTCTTCCCCAATTTCCTCTATTCCTCCCTAATTGTTCTCGTTTATTTCTAATTTCTCCCTAAACTTCTGTATTCAGTCTATTGTGCCTAGTTGTCCTACAAAACACCTTTGACTTTTTCAAAGAAAAACTGCAATCTTATAGCATAGGTAATTTGCATAATAAAGGCCAAATACCTAGAAAAAGAAATTTTATTCTTCCTCCCGCAATCCACAACTTGACTAGTAAAAAACATAATACCATAGAAAGAAAGAAGAAAACTTGCATTTCTACTACCTTTCTCAAATAATAATACAGACTACTCAATGATAAGCAGTTGAAGTAAGAGAATAGAATTACTACTAGTAAAACCCAGAGCAGAAACAGCGACATATCAAGAGAAAAAGAAATGCGAGGCAAGGTTTGTTAAGCAAAGGAGCATTATTAGGTAAAATATTTCTCTCTACCTCAGTGGTCTAGCAACCAGAGCACCCAAGAGATCAAGAAGAGAGACTAATCAATTGATAGAAGGCATCTCACCTTTGTAGTTCGATCCACTATTCCATCAACATCAAAGAAAAGAGCACCAGGAATGTGAGCAACCTACTATAATGAAAGAAATCTAACAGAAATGCATTTGAAATTGAAAATATTGGAATTAAAGGAAAGAAATTGATGAATTTAAGCAGCATATCTCAGTTTATATTACACTAGAAATAGAATTTCAATATTCAGAAGCATTTAACTGTCTTGAAAGTGTGGCACAATAAAATAGATCGTAGAAAAGACAATAATCAGCACCTGATACTCTTGAATTGGATTCCTTTGCTCATCTGGCATGTACCAAGATGCATCCAGTACCTGGTAAATAATAAAAACATGAACAACAAATAAATGAAGAAAGCATAACGTGTTTCCAATTTTCATGATAGTTCCAAAGATGCTGTATGCTAATAAATTATTCATAGGCTTTAAGCAAAATCCATAGAATGTTTTCACAATGCTATCTCAATCTCAGAAACTGAATAATTATTAGATAGCAAAAGTTTTTTTTTTAATGTTTTTCGGAAATTTCTTCAGGAAAACTGTTCTAAAGGTATCCCCTAAACCAAAATTTACCTACTACTCATTTTCTTTTTATATTTCATTTTAATTTGGTTGCAGAGATGTCACAAAAAAAAAAAAAAGGATAGTTCGTATTCCCAAGAATATGTATCTTTTCCCTTTTCAAGAGAATATATTTGAGGAAAATGAATAAACCCAAAGACGCCCATTGAAACCTGATAGAGGATAGCAAGCTGTTTAGAATTTGTTTAAGTTTTTTGAATAATTATTCTGATCAGTAATTTGAGGTTGGGCTTGAAATATGGCAATTGTTTTAATGTGACCTTAGTTACAGTCTGATAGATTATTCTTATAAGTTAAAAACACAGATTTATGGCTAGTTGTAACACTGAAACAGTGGTGGTAAATAGATAATAAGAAGATAAACTCTAGGTTTAACATCTAGATTTCTTTAGGAGTTACAAAATTGCAGAAGCCATACTATTGAAAATTAATTTGATAATAATTTCATAACCTTATAGAAATATCTAATTGACAGGTAACAACTATGAACATGCTAAAATAGTTCCATGCAAAACCTTAACAATCAAAAAATAATAATATACATGTATGCCTTTCTGTACTCAGAGAATAATGTGGAGAGAAAGCATCAAAAGTGGCAAATACAAATGATGCCATCAAGTCATTCATGGCAACCACACTTCCAATCTCACATAGTAACAAATTACGGGCATAAAGTTCCCAACACTTCTATAACAAACAATGCTTAGAAGGGTTACTGGTCCATACATAAATGCAAATACCTTCATATCAGGCTCCCTGAGATTAGCATGAAGCCAATCAACAGAAATGACTGGATCATCAGTGGAAGGATATTGTGTCGAAAAATTAGTTCTCGTCTCAATTGCTGAGGAAGCCATAAAACGAGAAAACCGACCAGATGTTTTATATGTCGTATAGGTAGGCTCAGCCTGTACACAAAACTGTCTCTTCTGCAAGTAATACAAAAATGCAACATAAGAACTGGGCCAGATGACCATAAGAACTACAATAAGATGAAAGGGGGAGTTTGAAGTTAAACGTAAACCATTTCCAACAATAAACAGTTCAAATTTTAAATTAATGTCGTCACCAGATCCCAGAGGTACTCAAGGACAGAGTAGTGAATATCAAAATATCAAACAGCTACATGCCCATGATAACCAATTATTCAGAGCGAAATTTCACTCATAAATGAAAAGAAAAGCAACCGTTATAGCAAAAGATATTTCTAAGGCATAGTTTCCGTTAATGAAAACATCAAAATAACGACAAAAATATATAGAATAGGTATCTTAATTTTCAGTATATACATTCTAGAACTATGAGCATTAAAATAAAAAATACAATTTTACAAAGAAAACATCAAATTCTCCATAACAATAGTCAAAACCCTAAACCCTTTGGGTCAAGAAAAAAACATCGGAACTCAAACCCACTTTCCAAAAGTGACAAATTGCTCACATGCAACAACAGAAAAAAGGGGGGAACGAAATACTAAGAAAGCAAAACTGATTAGGTGAATCAGAAAAAAAAAAAAAACAAATTAAGAAAAACCCAAATAATAACTAAAAAAAGGAAGAGGTTACTTACATTGAAAAGAGATGAGAAGATCAAGGGTTTGTGTGGGGGAGAAAATGAGAATCGAATCAAGCGGTTACCCAAGAGAGTTCTGGAGAAAAGGGATGATGCCATTTATGCACAAAACATGTAGAAAAAGGTGTTTGAAGGTTATCGAGAGAGACTCTTAACTTTGTTTATGTTGTCAGATTCTTTGGAGAAAGAAGACAAGAAAAGGCCTGGCTTAGATATCTAAGTAGGTAAGCATTTTTGCCGCTTCAATGTTTTTGGTGCCTTCCTGGATGCAATTTTAGTGATGCTGTGGTTAGGTTGTTGCATTCTGAATTGATTGATGACATACGGGTTTTTTTAGTTTTATCTCTTTTATTTATTTAGTAAAATTGGCCTGCCCAAAAGGCATTTCTATTATTGTGGAAGTTGTTACAGCCAATACTAAATGCGAGGAAATGGTTACCGTGTAAATTTTTATTATTCTAAATTTACAAAAACTTTATTTTACTTTCTATCCTTTGATTCTTGTTCTCTCTATTCTTTTCTTTTTATCCCTTTTTCTTCATTCTAACTATCATCTCATTAGTTTGGTTGACCTTGTTATATTTTTTGGGTTCCGATTGTTGTTATAATTTGTGTATCACAAGTAATTGTTAGAAGACAAGTATTAGTGATATTAAAGCATCTTTTATGTAAGTTATTAGCAATAGCAGATGGCGTCACTACTTGGCTGCAAAAGGAAACTTTAAACTTAGCAAAATGTTACTACAATCCAATCAGACTTGCAAGAACTAAGGAAAAAGGTAGATAACATTTGATTAAAGATGACAAATGACTTTAGGAAATTGCTTGTGGACTTTTGAATGAAAGGGATATGGAGGCTTTTGGAAGTGAGACCCCTTTCATTAGAGAATGCACTACTGTATTGTTAAAAAATATCAATAATTAATCTCAGAGTCCTCAACAATAGCTTAACGTAATGATGATGAATACTGAGAGACATTCAAACCTTGATTGCTCTAGGATGTACAAGATAGAATGTGTTAAATTTAAGGGAAAGGATTTCAAAGAATAGTATATAAAGATGGAGCAGTACTTTGAAGCAAAAAAGGGTGCCTAAAGAACTTAAGGTGAAAGTAACCACGCTAAGCTTGGAAGGAAAAGCTCTTCAATGGCATCAAACTATACAAAATCACAACGTGGATCTAATAAATTAAGTTGGAATGTTATATGGCCAGTATGGATGTTTAACCTTTCGATCTTATAAATCTATTAACAATCGATTGGACTAAAAAGATATAGTCATTTATCTTGATCCCACACGTAACTATACAATATATATGCAATCTCATATTGCTTGATAAACATCCAACTCCAAGAGTTAATATCATCAAATGTCTCATGAAAGATAACAAATCAGAAGACACATAAATGCATATTTATGTTCATTTGTAAGTTTAAGTGCATTTCCCTAAATGAGATTGCTAGGATCAATTGTCATTCCACAGTTTATGGCATTCTTCATCAATAACTAAATCACACATAGGACTAGCACATCAATAACATATTTTCCATGAGAATAACTTTATGGAGTTCAAAACCTAATACTCTCACTATCTAAGTCATCATTTAGATAGATTGCACAGTTAGACTTGATGATTCTGGTATTTCTCAACAAATGACAGAATCTGAAATCTTTGACATCAATGTAACAGCCAACAAAATGCTACTGATAGCTTTTTAATCAAGTCTCATTTATTGAGGGTTGTAAGCCCATAGATTTGAATTACAACCTTAATATTTGATAGTGGCTTAAAAATCAGCATTCTTGTTTGACCATAATTTACAACAATTTTTAGGAATTTTATTACTTAGATCTTGATTTAAATTAAATGTTGTAACTTCAAAGCTTCATTCCACATGAAATCTAAAAGGTGAAATACCACAACATATACCATACCATGTACAAAATTATGTAGTTACCTATTACTACAATCTTACTCTCTTTTAGTATTCCAAGAGCAGCATGCTAGGTGTCATCACCATAATCTAGTAAAAAACTCAACAGAATAATACAAGATTGTGCCTAATTTCAACATACTAACTATAGTATTTATCATCTATGTTTAACGATATTACCTTAATTTTGTATTTTTGAAAACTTTGGCAATGGATTTTAAAAAACTTTAAGGCTTCCATATGGTCAGATTCTCAATCCACATGACCAAAACCTGAATGGTTTTTAGTGAAGGTGACGAAATGCCTCAATCCACTGAAAGCAATAAATGGAAGCAATCCATAATTGTTGGTATAAGTCAATTCTTAAGTCAGTTCCTAAACTTCTTTACATATACTAATCACAACTGTATATTAGCAACAAAACTTCTCTTAATGCGATCTATACATGCGCCAAATTCATAATGTCCTTATCATCTATGCCACAACTTGGTAGACTTCTGATAGATTTTACCAAGATTATAACTAATGACCATGTCATTTACAGTATCCACAACTAGAGAAGATTGCCTATATTCATAAATATCTTCTCTATTTGGTCTCTAGTTGCTTGCCAAGGTTTATCAACACTAGCACTAATATCGAACCATAAAAATAGAGGGCATAGTATCTAGATTGGATTCAAATGGAAATGGCTAACAAAATCACCTTACTTCAAATAGAAAAGGCTAACTGAATGCTTTGCTTCTTTCTAGTCCAAAAAACTTTTACAAATTACCTTCTTATGCTTGATCTATAATAAAAGTTGCACACATTTTTAAATTTCTCTGATTTCCCGATTGAAAAGCATTCGTGGAACCAAAATAAGAAGTGGGCTTCACAAAATTCTTCTTCTTAAATGACCTTTAATGAGACTTTTCTTAGTGTTATTCCCTTTGGCAATAGTGCTAACATGTATCATATAGAGAACAGATGATATTGTTGGCTTATAATATCTCTTCCTCTTGGATAGTTATAGCACTTATAGTATTTAAATCCTTTATGCTTTTTTTCTGTGCTTTTATTTTAAAGGTAAATTTCAATCATTGTCACTTTCAGAAGGAAAATATTCAAAAATCTGCTATAATAGGAACTAGTCCCATATTTCAACATTAGAAACAGTAGTCATTTTTGAAATATGCTCAAAAAAACCATTTACTCTATCCAACATGGTAGTGGTGAAATAGTTAACGTAGTTTGATATTTTAATCTTATAGAAAAAATATTATAGACACTATTTATGTTCAAAGTCAACTTTTGTTATGATGATGATGATGATGATAATGATGATGATGATTATTATCATCATCATCATCATCATCATCATTATTATTATTATTATTATCATTATTTTTTTCTTCTTTTTTTCTTAATTTGTTCTAATAAACAATGAAATTGAAGAGAGAAGGAATTGTATCAATTCTCTAAAATCAAGCAACAAATTGGAATAAAACCAGAAACCGAATCGAAGGGATTTAAAGCCCAAGACTATCAATCAAATCGGATAGAATTTAATTCAGGATTCAAGCTTAGACTAAATCGGTTTAAGCCCTAATATTTATGTTGGAATCGACTATAAATTGAGTGTGAAAATCATACAGAGAGAAAAAAGAAAAAATAGAGGAGAGTCTGGGTTCTGGGTTGATACTATTTGGTCGATTTTGTTTAGAGTTAGTTACATTTGGGTTTTCTGAGTTTAGTGAAAAAATAAAATTGTCAGGAATCTTTGAAAACTCTGAAAGAGGGAAATTTTCTAGAAAATTTTAGAGAATTTTAAAAATTCTAAAAATTCTAGAAAATTTTGAGTTTTAGGTTGAAAGTTTAAAATTTCGATTGAATTTTTTGACAAACTTTAAAGTTTTCAGTTAAATTTGGTTAGTTTTCCAAAAACCTAGTTTTCAACAACTTATTTTAGAGTTTTTAAAGAAAAGATGGTGAAAAAAAATAGAGAGAAGGGCTGAAGGATTCTGAAGAAAAGCTAAAGACCTTAACTTGTATACTAGTGTCGAACGATGTTGTTTCACTTAGCATAACCCGTGTCCCAACCTACATGGATTTGTGCGTGACCCATTTCTGGACCTGACCCGATTGTAGGTTTTTCTTTTTTCTTTTTCATTTTAATTTTTATTTTAATTTTCAATTATATTTTTATTTATTTTTTTATATTTTCTTTTATATTTTATATTTCATTTTACTTTTTTTATTCTACTTGTTTTTAAATTAAATGATTTATTTTAAATAATTTCATAAATTTCTTTTAAAAAAAGAAAAAATATAAAAAAATATTTCTAAAAACTAATTCATGAATCCTACCAAATTATTGGAGATTTTTTTCATTAATTTAAATTTTTATGAATTTTACCAAACTATTGAAGAATTTCATAAATTAATTGTACAAAAAAATTATTATTAAAATCCTTTGTACTTTATCTTATCAAACTATTGGAGAATTTGCATCTTAAATCTCACTAAATATTGGAAGATTTAATATATTTTTAAAAAAAAATACAATCTTATAATAAAATCTCACTAAACTATTGAGAGATCTACATTAAAGTAAATTTTACACATTATTGAAAGATTTTACTTATTATTTCTTTAACTAAAATTTCAATGAATCCAACAACAAAGCCTCTACAGGGTGAGACACTAGTCTTCATGAATACTACTGAGATGATAGAATTATATTAAATTGCTACCAAACTATTGAAGTAATTTTAAGATTAATTTTTAATATTAAATATTTTGGTAAATTATAAATATGGTTAAGGTTTGGATAATTTGAAATCAAACCGGTATCATCCTTTGGATGGGTGTTGTAAGGGTGCTATTACATTCTTCATGTGCAACCGTACTCTCGAATCTAAAATCTGATTTTATAGACTAAAATCTACTATTTAAAGATACTTAAGTTAATCTTATGACTCATTTTTAAGTAGGATATATTCGATTAGGTGGCTAATCACACATAAATAAAAAAGATCGATGGCTATTCCTTTAACCCATATCTAGCGATAGGTCCATAAATCCATACATTATGAAAGTTTGGCGACTCCATTGGGGATTATTGAGAGTCAGGCCAACCAATGCATTTCTTATTATCCAAGCTTAGCCTACTAAATTTGAGATTTTTTTTTCTTTCTTTTTTCCTTGTCTATATTTTATTTAGTTATCTAGTTATTCATTTCATATATGTTTCTTTCATTTTGCATACATATAACATGAGCTCTGCACCTAAGTTCTTTCTCTTAAAAGGAAATAAAGTACCTACGCCTTCGTGAGATTTTCATTTCTCTACATGGACTAGCAAAATACTTTCACTCAGATTGAACCACTTTTCGCTTGTAGCCTATAATAGG